TCTTCAACCCACTTTTAACAAAAAACCATTAATCATTATTTGATCTATTAAACGACAGTATATAAAGGTGAAATCGAAAGAAAATGTGCGATTTGTGCGGGTATCCCATGCTAGTGATGTTACGGCTACTCCGAACAGTAACTGAGTCAACGAGTTAAACTGCCAGCAATACACTGATAAAACACACAAATTATGAGCAAATATGCCCACGCAACGACGGACAGACAGACACGTAATCCCCAGACTGACACACAGAAAAACTGGGTCGGGCCACAGCGCAAACCGCGTTTTACCACGCCGTCACATTCTAATTTTACAGACATGCCAAAACCTGTTTCGGAACTTGTTAGCGCAGGTGGGGCTAGGTTTCGCGGGTTTCGGTGGTTGCGGATAGTGCTTGTTGTTTCTTGGATGTATTGCTGTGTATGGTGGTATGGAGTTGTTTGTGTTGGGAATTGAAAAGTGCTGGGAGGGGGGGAGGGGAGTTCTGGAAAGGATCGTTCCGTTATTTTTGCGAAGGAAGAGGTTTTGCGGGTAAAAAGGAATCCTCGCGATCTGTGGGCGCACAAATATGTGCAGGGCGAATTGCACCTGGCTTTTTCGGGGGAATCTCAATCATTTGGGAATTAGAACAGGGGAAGAAGAAAACGTTTGAGGGAGTACAAGCATTGCAAAGCTCTTTTTTCCTTTTTATATTTTTTTTTATGTTTTATGTGTGGCACATTTTCCCCTTATTTTTAATCGCATTTCCTTTTAAACCTCACCTTTATATATTTTTTTATTTCAAGAATTTTTAATTAATATGTACCAGAGCGGCCGTACTGACGAGGTCCAGTTGTAGCGCTGAATAGGAATGTATGTGAATTAATGGATCAAAACTTTCATGTTCCGTTGATTAATTTTTAAATTTTATATATATATCATTAGAACTTCATCTCTTTTCCTTATTTTCTTTCACATTTTCTTAAATTACAGTCATACTGACGAGATCCAGTTGTGGTGCTGAATAGGAACTTGTACGCCTTGATTTATCGAAAATTTCCTGTTCCGTTAATTTTTACATTTTATATATATCATCGTTACAAACTACATCTCTTTTCCTAATTTTTTTATCGCATTTTCTTAAATTTCACCTTTATATACGCATTTACACCTTAAACATTCTTTATTAATAAACACCAGAACAGTCATACTGACGAGGTCCAGTTGTGGTGCTGAATAGGAATGTATGCGACTTAATGGATCGAAACGTTTCTGTTCCGTTGATTAATTTTTACATTTTATATATCATCATCACAAACTTCATCTCTTTTTTGCGTTTATGAATAACTGTTTTATCTTAAATTTTTTTGTTTCTGTTCTACTTTGTTTCGATATGATCCTCCTTTTCACTTCTTTGTTCTTGGTATGTTTATATGATATATAAGTTTGTGCGGAAAGACATGCCGAGCAGCCTTCACTTCATTACTCTCTCTCTCTCGGTCACAGTCACAGCGCTCGCTCTTCCGCTTTCGTCAGTGATCACGTTTCAATTTCCGGTTATTTTGGCTAATGGTATGCTTTCTTTTTTCGCTGGTTTTGCTGTTTGTTTGGTTTTCGTCAGTAGATTTCAGCATTGGCCGTAGCTTTGTTCACTCTGCTCCCGTTACAGTCGTTTTAAAATATCCATGGCGGTTATGTGATAGCCCCCAGTGACTTTATCGCTCACTTTTAATGCTCCTTGCTCATGTGTGACCTCGCAAATTTAAGTTCAGTCTTTTCGTGATTACGAGTAGTACGTTCGGACCCGAAAAAGTTTGGGCAAGTAAAATTGTAATCACGGGAACCACGGAAGCTAGGAAGCTGAAATTTTGGTTTCTAGTGTTTTTTGAGGGAGTTCTTCATTTTGCGTTAAATTCTTGTTTTTAGAACGCTTTTAGAATGCTAGCTCATTTGAACATGTAATTTGAAAATTTGAGCAGAAAATTTTATCAAATTATCATTAACGTTTTG